CCCCAGGTCATACTGAAGGGCACTGTGTTGGCATTCATGGCATATCCTGCCTTGCCTGACAGGGGTTACAGTAAATCTCCCACTCAGCTACCCTCCTCCTTGGTATACGCTCCCAAGAAAACACCAGACTGATTCTTAAGAGGATTTAAACAAACTTTTTCCCAGTCTCCTGGAAAACCCAGACTCTCTCCTTGCCTGTTCCTACTCACAGAGACCATGCTGGAATTGCTGGTAAAACATGCTCTACCCCAGGGGAAGCATCCAGATGGAATGCTTTGACCATGCCTCCATTCCTGGCTCCATCATCCCCCCTGCACCCCCCTATTTCCTGGGGAGTATGACTCACCTGTTTCCAGGAGAGGTGTGCTATTAGAGGTTCCCTGGATGCTGAAGATAGAAAGCCATTTAGAAACATGACCTTAGATACACTATACATCTTGACCATCACTACAGGAAAAAACAGAATGAGAAACTTGGAAATTAGCCTTGCTGTTCACTTCATTGAGTCCTCAATCTCCCATGGGTTAAATGCCTAAAGCAGCCTCCAGAGCACAGATCTAGGGATGTAACTGGCTGTTTCCCTGAGGCTATTTAAAGCTGTCTTAGACAGCTATGAACTCTCTTCGGTAGAGTGGATTAAAGAGCAAAAGGGGCAGAGGAGTGGAGATTATATACCATAGTACCTAAAGGTTTTAAGTATATGGAAGTCAAATATGACTACTTTGTAAATAACATTTTAACCTTAAAATGTCAGCATGGTTCCACTTACTAGTAATGTACCCTGTCCAAATTGCTTTAAAATCTCCTTTTCTTGACTAGAAAGGTTGAGTGAATTTGTCAAAGACCTAGAGTTAGCTAATGACATCTGTTCCTGAGTCAAGTCTAGCTTTGCCTATGTAGACTCTTAAACAGAGTGACGTGGAAATTGTGTGTGTGTGTTTTGGGATGAGGGAGAGTGACAGAGACTGAGAGAAGAGACAGCAAGACAAATTGAGAGAGATTAAGTGAAACAGGGGTAGGGGTTGAGGGGGATATAGGTAGGGTAGAGAGAGATGGTCTTGTGCCTCCTTGTGTTTTTATCAATGTTGTCCATGAATGTTAAGTCTTTGGGGAATGTGTCCCTAGACTTGAAAACTAATTCTAACATTAATTAATCTCTACCACCAATTAGTATAGTATCATAACTTCTGATAGCATTTTTCCAAGGAAACTTCATGTCAGAATTGAACCCAGATGATGTGGCAAGAACTTCTTTCTAAGAAGAGAGAACCATCATCCAAGGGAAATGCCAGAATCCAGGACCCAATCTACCGCCTTGACAGTCCCTAAGGGTCTACTGTTAATTTCTCATCCCTCAGTGGGAGACAGAACTGAGTTTTCTGCCCTCACTAAAATACCACTTTTCCACCAAAACAAACCTTTAATAGACATTTAGTCACCATTCCAGCCAACCAGCATTAGAAAAATGTTGTTATAAAATTAGTGTGTCTTGGAACTTCCCTGGTGGTGCAGTGGGTTAAAACACAGCACTAAGAAGCTAAAGTCACTTCAGCATGAGTTCAATCCCCGCCCCAGAAGTGACCACATGCTGCAGCAGACCTCTCCTGGCCCGCCCGCTGCTCCCCTCAGCAGTGTACATCATCAGTCAGCCAGTTCTGCTCCCCACTCTGTCTCTGGTGAATCTTCTCACCGCCCCTGCATCTCTGGCCTGTAACCCAGTTCTGTATGCATAAATAAATAAATGTTAAAAAAAAAAAAAAACAGAGCTGCTCTAATGGGTCTAATGGGAGAGGTTGGTAAATGGAGAGCTACCTTGCCATCCCCAGGGAACCCTAGGGTGCCACAGAATATGGTTTGAAAACCACATCATCTTCATCTACACATGTGTGACTTAACACATCTAATTGCTCTTCCACCTAGAAACTAGGTCTCCAGTACCTAGAGGTTTACCTTTGAACTATGGAAACAGGATACAGACAGAAAGGATGTATTTTCAAAGCCTGGGCTTAGCCAAGTCCCTTACTTGTGGGGTTCAGTTTCTTCATAGAACTTTCTGTTCTTAAGAACTTTGCCTTAGTACCCTTTACATGAAAGATATGATCACAGTTTTTCACTGAAGACTTTTTATGGATTTGTTATGAATTTATTCCCTAAGTAAAATTAAAAATGAAAACGTGTTGATATTGTAATTAAGAAAAATGATTTCTAATCAAACACCATTATTCAGTTTGGAAATACATAGAGAAAACCTCAGAAAGCAAGCATCAAGTTTGATTTCTGTTATTTATTTCCTCTGGGCTTTAAACAATAACACTTTATCATTTTTATGAAGCACTGAAGTTTTACTTTTTAAAACTTATGAAGAAACCCTTCAAATATACAGAATAAATTCTATTTACTCTGACACCTAATTCTGAGTTCACTGAGTAACAGTGAAACTAGATGATTTGATAAAACACAACTGTTGCCTAGTAGTAGGACTGAAGTTTAAATGATTTTGGGTGGTGGATATCTGCATAACTTCTGACTAGGGCAGAAACAACCTGGAGCTTTCCTCCAGGACTAACACCCCACTGTCTGGAGTTAGTGGTTCATGATTTAACATATCTTCCCTTTCAGTATTCCTCAATTCTTCAGTAGACCTTCATGCAAAAATCCACAGACATCCTAACCCATGGATGGGTCTTATTTAAAGGGCCTCTAGCAGATACTGAGAGAGGTTTCATCCAGAGCACAGAGCAGATGAAGTGGGGCTCACTTCCCTTCCATCCACACCTCCTCTTCCCACCACCTGCTCAACAAATGGTTCTTGTCCAAAATATACATTCAGGACCTCCCTGGTGGCTCAGGAGTTAAAGCCTGAGCACTATCAAGCTCTCACCAGCCACTACTGCATGAGTTTGATCCCCAGCCAGGGAGCTGACCCACATATGGCACATCAGAACTCTCTTGAGTCACCCGCGGCTCTCTCAGCACTGTATTTCAGTGGATCCACCTGTTCTGCTCCCCACTCTGTCTCTGGCGAATCCTCTCCCTCCTCTCCCTACACACACACTTTTGGCCTATACCCCAGCTCTTGTATGCATAGATAAATAAAATAAATCTTTAAAATACACACACACACACACACACACACACACAAGGGTAAATGAAGGCCCAGGCTTTCCTGCCAAAGTTCATTGGCTGGTGCTAAAAAATCAAAACACACAGATGTTAAAAAGAAAACAAAACTCTCATGGAAGATGTTCGATCCCAAATGAGCAGATGAGTTTCAATGCCATTGGAGTTTAAACCCCAGACAAATCATTGCAGTATCTAGAAAGGATTAGCAAAAAAGAGAAGGAGCAGGAGCTATGCCTTAAGTAGTGGCAAGGATTGGATAGATGGAGAGGAGGGAAGGTGTGTCAGGGGGGAGAAAACTGAGTAATCGGAGAACCACAGAAGAGATAAAACAAGCTGTAGAGCAGCAAGTGAAAAGGCTTGTCTACGCAGAGAATGTTTACTGTTTGGTTAGAAATAGAAACTGAGCACAAACCAGGAGGGGCTTACCTCTGCACTTGCCCTCAGCCCTTCACTCCCTCGGTGGTACTGAGCGGAGGAAGTTGCTCCCAACCTGGTGACTGGCAGATGCCTGGCCTGCCCACTCCCAGAAACCCAGGGGTGTCAAATACCTTCCCTGGTCCATACAAACTCGTGCCTATTGCCTGAAGCTATGGAACCGTTGTGAGGAAGAGCCTCAGGTCACACCTGAGCTCTTAGTGAGGAGCTATGTATTATTGGGGCCTATTAGGAGGGTAAAGCAGGGAAGAGCTGCAGTTAGAACAACAGTAGACACGGTCTGTGTTTGCATCTGTGCTTTACTCAAAAGTAACGGCTGTGATGGGGAGAAATCCAGGCACCTAGGTGCCTGAACAGGAAAAGTGTGGTGAATCAGGGAAAGCCTCACAATGTTAGATGGACTACCAACTCTGATGATGCTTACGAACAACCCAAAAACAATAGTCTGCCTTGGACAACAAATGAGACTGTTGAGGCACATTAGGAAGCAAAAAAATCTGCCACCCCAAAACAAGTACTTTTGACAAAAGGTTAATTTAATAGGAAGAAGGCTTGGTGGAGGTTGCTTTTGATAAAGGTATTAAGTGGGCATCTTCCAGAAAGAACTAATCTTAGCCTCTCAAGGCAAGGGCAGAACTTAAGTCTGCAGTCTTTTGTTTGCTGTGCCCTCCCTGGTAAACTCCCTAGCTGAACTTCCTTCCCCACTTTCTTGCCCCAGACTCCCTTGTCTTAGCTCAGGTATTTAAGATGGTTCCTGAAACTCGTGGATCAAGTATTAAATCCTGCCAGCTCTCTCCCATGGATAAGGGGACAGACATGCTATTATTCCACTTCTTGTTGGCTTTTTCTCTTATCAGTCTGTTTGATGCTTATTTGACTGTTTGTTGCCTAGAAGAACCCACAGGGGGGAGTTTTCCCATAAGCACTGAATGCTGAAACTGACCTCAACAGGATAAAGCAAAGGTCTGTCATTCATTAGTGATGTCCATCTTGGGCTCAGAAATAAGAAACAGTATTATGCAAGCTATACCTTGTCTAAGCCCACCTTTACCAAAAGGCAGCATGCTAAATATATTTAATGCATGACAACCAATTAACATAATAAGTTAGGCATTTTGGTTGGTTTGGTTAGGTTTCATTTGCGATTCAAGGACACGTGTTTTTCAAATTATATAACCAAGCCTGTAGGTACTTCTATATATCTATATAATTAATAAGATCAGTGCCAAAAAGACATATGCCCAGAATGAATTCAAGGCAAGACCACAGAGTTCATGGATTTTAAAATCTTGTGCTTTTTTTTTTTAAGTAACATTACAGAGCATGTGTAAATTTTTGGTGTAGAACAATGAAAGCCAATGCAGATGCAATATTTAAGTTCATCAAAGCCTTTAATCATAGTGGTTGTGTTTATCTTAACTCTTGTCTTTGGTGAGACCTACCTGGTACCTGACAATGTGCAGCTCACACCTGATGCAGGTATTCATGGGGCTGAGCTGCGGCTCTGACCCCCGGCAGTTCTCACTCTGATCTCTGATCTCTCTGCGTCTCATTTTCTCTCCAGTTGGAAGTCCTTCATCTCCTCTTCTACTGCACTCCTGGGGAAGAGGGAATTTGTCAGCAAAGAGAGCAAATTTTTTTCTTCTTTTTATTTTTCCTGTAAATGCAAACAAGAGACCCACACTACAAGAACTTTCATATTTGCTAACACCCCAGGGTGTTTTGCAAAAGTCAATCTGACCAAAACCCATAAAATATAAATTCACCTACTACAAGCACAGGAGGACTGTGGAGCTTTCTCCCCCGAACTCTGCATTACACAGTGTCCATACAAATGACTCTGGAAACTGCACCAATTACCAGAGCCACAGGATACATCTCAAGGTTAGGAGAACTTACTGGAAAAAAGAAAGCAAATGAAATGCATCTTTAAGAAGATCCCTTTGCATTGGAGAGGCTGCCCTGGAGCACACTGAAACAATTTGGGCAAAAAAATGTCCACCTTCCTTTTGTAATATTGCAGCTCTCTGTGAGTCTCAGCCCCACCATCCACCATCAGAGGCTTATCTTAATCTGAAGTCTATGCATGTGCTGCTCTCATTATGGAAGAAATGGGCATGATGTTGGGCAGAGGGAAAGGCATAGCTGCTGAATATCTATACAGGATGTTAACTTTTTTCTAATTATAAAAAAAATCTTGTGTAGCGAATTTTTACCAGAGGTAAGGAAACAGTTTTACTAAAATCACTCCTCTCCCCTCTCCAATCAATGTTTCGTGGCCTATCCATCAAAACCCACCGCACAATATTCTATCACATTATAAAAGCAAAGAGATCTAGGCCTACCCTGTAGCTGCAGAACTCAGGTTTCTGAGAAGAGAGCAGTAACCAGCACCTGCTTTTTGAAGGCACTGCCAGTGTGTCCTGTGACAAGGCAGGCTCTCCTCTGACTTGTACACTCTCCTGTTGCAGGTAGTTGTGTCTCTGTCACCACTGTATTCCAGAACCTGGCACTTCAAAGCTACTCAGTAAATAGGTGTTCAATAAATACATTGTTTTTTCTTTGCATATATACATTTTTCTTTTTTCTTCCTTTTTGTCTTTTTGAAATGATAAAATACAAAAGAAAAGGAACATGGAGCCCTCTCAGTCTCGGTAACAACCAAAAGGAGCCAGAGACTGTTGAGGGTAGAGTCCCTGGCAGGCGCCAGCACCCGCATGTTGGAGCATGAGCAGACACAAACACAGGCCAGGAGAAAGTGAAATCACACAGTCAAGCCCTACAGTTAGAAATGCAACCAATCACAGCCTGACAAACTTTCCACCAATCAGAATCACACTAACCAAAGCCCTCATTTGCATAAAACAAAACTAGCCCAGCCCTTTGCTCTAATAAGCTTGCACACTCTTGTTCCTGGGGCAGGTAGCTCAAGTGTTCCTTGAATCTGACTGAAGCCTAGAATAAAAATTTGCTGTAACACTGATGTTGTAACACAAGATATGTAACACTCTTGTTAAGACCCCAAAACCATAATATCCTACTGTGACACACAGGTGTAGAACATCACTTATCTTGGTGCAGAAACATATATTCATAGTTTTCTCTTAACAAAAACTAAGACATTTATCCTGTGCTTGTCACTGCACTATTAGCTTGCAAGCATTATATCACTTAAAACAAACCCAAAAAGCAATTATTATTGGCCGCTTCCTATTTTCAAACAACAACAAAAAAATCATACATACAGGAGTTATATAAATTGTCCAACATTACACAATTGGAAAGTGGTAAAAGTAGGTTTAAAACCCGTGAGTATAAATCCAATCTTTGTGCTTCATGCCTGCAAAACATCATCTCAAATTCCTATAATGTTCACTTTTTTAATGGTAACATGGTATTCTGCTGTATATATTCACCAAGGATTTAAGAAATTATTGGACATTTCCTCCCTTTACAACACTGTATGAAAAGCACATTAATACAAGTTTCCTATAACCATATTTCTATTTCCTTAGAATTATTTCCTGAAAGTGGAATTGCTATGTTCAAAGGATATGAACATTTTCATGGCTCTTGTCCTACTAAAATATTTTACTAAGATACTATCAGGGTGAAAGAAACATTCCCCCATACCCTGGGGTGTTTCTGAGGCTGAACAAACAAATTAATATCAAGCAGATTAGGAGAAAAAAAAATCAAATTTCATAATACCTGTACAGAGAATTTAGATACCTGCTAGTTCTACAGTAAATGGGACAAACTGGGTATCTTTACAGTAAAGAGTGGGAGAAGGCCTGGGGTGTTGAGTAGAAGGGGTTTCACATGACTTTATATGACCTAACCTAACCTGCAGATGTTTGCCCTGCCAATAAAACGCTTGTTTCTGGATCTAGCCCTAAATCTAAGAATTTGCATCCTTTAAGGTTTTGCTGACAGTTTCTCCTGAGGTTCTTAAGGGCCTCCATTCACCTTAGTTCCATATAACAAGGTGAATCATATTAGAAAATCTGGGAATGGACATCTTGGGAAAAACTTAACTGAGAGCCCTCCCTGGTGGCACAACAGGTTAAAGCACAGCACTACGAAGCTCTCCGAAGCCACTGCAGCACAAGTTTGATCCCCGCCCTGGAGGTGACCCACAAGGCTTGGCAGACCTCTCCTGGCCCACTGTTGCTCTCCTCAGCAGTGTACTTCAGTTGATCTGCCTGTTCTGTTCCCCGCTCTGTCTCTAGGGAATCCTCTTACCCATCCCGACCCCCCCATCTCTGGCCTGTACCCCAGTTCTGTTAGCATGAATAAATCTTCAACAACAAAAAAAAAGCCAATTCGGGGGCAGGGGAATCTGATCCTATAATATGCATCTACCAGAAGCATAAAGGTGTCTATTCCTCCCATAAAAAATATATGTAAACTTTGAATGATCATTAACTATATGTATTTGTGGCTGCCATGTTTTCAGGACAGTTAGAATTCTTTTTCATCCGGGAGCATTCCCCACCGGGTAGGATCCTGGTAGTACCATTAGGCAAATACTTAGACAGGGAGACAGAGTTCTTCCCTATACCTCCTGGGAACATCCTACGTACCCATCCCCCAACACACTTGGGGCGTTGGTCTGTTCTCATTTTGTTTTCTTTTATCTCTAAATCTTCACCGATGTTACACCTCCCAACTGTCCAGGATGCTTTCATCCCTATGATTGCCCCAAATTCACTTGATAAAGAGTGGAAAAATTTCCTTCTCCTCTTCCATGTTCTTTGGTCTAGTAATTAAAATGGACAGATTAATAGGAGGGGAAAAAATCTGATTTTATACATTGGAGAATCCCACAAAGACATGGCTATTGGGGCTGGTATACCACCTTGATAGGGAGAATGAATAGGATCTGAGGATTTCAAAAGGGAGAAAAACAATCTACAAGAAGATGGGGAAAGCAAATGTTTGGTAAACAAATATTTGCCATGCCTTGCAAATCAAGAGACTTTGAACAAACAGATCGTGCTAAGTTCCCCGAGTCTACCACTACCACATTGAGCTCATATTCTTTGTAATTGACTCTGGTGACAGCCACTTTCTAGAAGAGGTCCTCTACCTAAATCCCTGAAGACTGTTAAAGGAAAGGGAATGTAAAGCCTTCATTAAGTGTGTCATTCACAACTCTATCTACGTGACAAAGTGGTGTATTTGGGGAGTGGCCTCTTCTGCCTCCCACTCCCATGACTCCCCAATTCCTCACCAGCTCTCAGTGATCATATGCATCAGAAGATTTATGAGAGATGTGCTGAGGCCCAAAAGACGACTCATCTGCTGAGGTTGTCCACAGAGTTCTGATCAAGCAACCAATGCTCAGCCAGGTAATTTACTTGCCCAAAGTCACATGGCACTATGGGGCAAGTCCAGAGTCTCCGCAGCGGAGGTCCTAGCCAGCACCCTCCACTGCCTCTCTCTAGGCAGAGATTGTTGCTTGTAAGGGGAAAAAAAAAAAAACTGAGCTTTGAATCAACCATTCCCCCAGGCTGACCCATTCAAACAGGAGATTACTTCTCCCTGGGCAGCGGGGAAGAAAAGCACCCCTAGCCTTTGCCCAGGTACTCCAAATGGAACCACCACTCCTTCCAGAGTTGCTGGTTCCAAACACATTGCCTCTGCGGAGACTGAAATCATCAATCCAGAATGTTCTCTAAATGAGCTCGCCATCTACCCCAACCACAGACAGCCAGGCTCCTAGGAGAAGCTGTCCCCTTGATCAGCATTTCCTGGCTCCTATTTACTCTGAGAAATTAGAAGTTAAAATTAAAAGCAAATAGGGGATGGAATTTAATTCTTTTGGGCAAAGACAGTGTGCAAGGAATACTATTATTAATAGGTGAGAGAGGGAGGTACCAGGCATTGCCTGAGTGGGCAACTCAATTCTGTTCCCCCCCAGCATCTGTCATCAGTTGATGGCATAAAGCTTCACAGGCTACAAACTGTGTCCCTCGCTCCCCAAACTGGTATCTGCCAGGACTGATCACATCATAAGAGGGTCTTACACCACTCTGCTTTGGTCATTTACTAAATGAGAAGCCCAGAGGAAAGCAGCCTCAGAGATGGCTTGGCAGTTCAACCAAGTCCAGGGTTTCAGCTTTGATATTTCTGGCTCTGTCAGTCCCACACTGGCTCCTCCTATCCAAGCTTACACTGCAGGCACCCAAGCTCCACTCCATCAAGGCAGGGAAAAGGTAAGAGGCAGCACCACCGGGTCCCCTTCGTGTCTGCTCTTTTTAAAGGGACAGTGAAATGCTTCCCCAGGAACACCCACACTTTCCCTTTCAGCTAGCCCAGTCACGTAACCAGTAGACTTAGGTCAATACAGGGAAATCACAAGTCATCATGGAGGCAGGCAAATCCTTGCCCCAAACAAAATGGAGGTTCTCTTGAGAAAGGGAGAGGGCTAGGCAAACACTAGCGTCTATAGCAACTATGCACCCACACACAGCAGGGGCCTGGCGCCTAACAGGTACTCCAAGAAAGTGAAAATGAGGCCAAATGGTTTAATTGGTCTTAGACCCTAAAGTACAAGAAAGAAAAATACTTATCTAAATGTCTTTCTGAGGCTTGCTTTTACAGATACAGCAGAGGCTGGAGGCTTATCAACATCCTTGAGCAGAGGTTGAGATGATGTTCCCTTGTCTGTAAAATGGAAAAGATAGCAGGTATCTCATGAAGTCGTCATGGTGAGCAGTAAATAATGTATCCATGATGCCTACTACAGAGTCAAGCAAACATAAATAGGTGCTTCATAAATAGCACTTATGATAACCAAAATGATGAATCTTCCAGAGATAGACTTCCTTAGGATTTCAGGAACCTCAACACTGAGATTTAACTTTTGAACCACTAT